AGGAATATCTTGAGAAGATATGTAATGAGATTATGGAATTTCAAAGAACAGGCCGTTATGATTTGATGTACATGAAGACAAAAGAACTAGGATGGAAAGAGAATCATGGGATTCAAAATGTTGGCATCGAAGACTCCCAGGGGAATAGAATAGTAGATCAGAGGCAAGTGCTGAAAATTTGGGAAAATTATATTTCAGAACTATATGATCGACCTAATCGGCCAGAAACCTTAGAAGTTGAACCGGAAGAAGAAGTAGATACAGACGAGAAAGGACCATATATTTTACAAAGTGAGGTGGAAAAAGCTATCAAGGAAATGAGGAAGGGAAAGGCTACAGGAGATGATGATGTACCTGGAGATGTGCTCAAGTTACTGGGAGAAGGTGGTTTGAAAACACTGACAAAACTAATGAACACCATATATGAAAGTGGAGAGTGGCCCAAGGACTTTACAGAAGTTACAATGATTGCCTTAAAGAAAAAGACAAAAGCTACAAAATGCAGCGACCATCGCACAATAAGTCTTATTGCACATACAGCAAAGATAATAGCAAAGATACTTAAAAGAAGAATTGAAAGGAAAATAGAGGATGTACTTGGAGAAGATCAGTTTGGATTTAGAAGAGGAAAAGGAACCAGGGATGCAATTGGGATGATGAGAATTATAGCGGAACGAACTTTGGAGATAGATGAAGAACTGTGTGTTTGCTTCATAGACTGGCAGAAGGCATTTGACCGGGTAAACTGGACCAAATTAATGCAGATCCTGAAAGAAACAGGTATCGATTGGCATGAAAGAAGATTGATTAGCAAATTGTACATGGATCAGAAAGTTAGAGTACGACTGGACAGGGGGGAGACAGGAAGTGTGCAGATTGGAAGAGGAGTTCGACAAGGATGCTGTTTATCACCAATTCTGTTCAACTTGTACAGCGAATGCCTTACCAAGGAAGCTCTGGATGGGCTCGGTGACTTCAAAGTAGGAGGGCAAATTATTCAAACTGTGAAATATGCAGATGACCTTGTGTTAATGGCTAAGGAAGAAACTGTGCTACAGGGCATGATTGATAGACTAATTGAAATTGGAAGGTGCTATGGCATGGAAATGAATGTGGAGAAAACAAAAGTAATGAAAATTTCGAGACAACCAACCCCAGTCACAATAAAGATAGACCAAAAACAAGTGGAGAATGTGAAATGTTTTAAATATTTGGGTAGCTTGTTAACAGATGATGGAAGGTGTACTTGTGAAATTAAATCCAGGATTGCCATGGCAAAAGCTGCATTTAGCAAGAAGAAGAATCTTTTTACCAGCAAATTGGACTTAAATTTGAGGAAGAAACTAGTGAAATGCTACATTTGGAGCATAGCTCTGTATGGGGCTGAAACATGGACACTTAGGGCAGTAGATCAGAAACATCTGGAAAGTTTCGAAATGTGGTGTTGGAGAAGAATGGAGAAGATCAGTTGGACCGATTATGTGAGAAATGAAGAAGTGTTAATTAGAGTCAGTGAGCAGAGGAATATCCTACATGAAATAAGAAAACGGAAGGCTAATTGGATTGGTCATGTTTTACGCAGAAACTGCCTTCTAAAAGAAGCTATCGAAGGAAAGATAGATGGGTGGATAGAAGTGACAAGAAGACGAGGAAGAAGACGTAAGAAGATGCTGGATGACCTTGGGGACAGAAGAGGATACTGTCATTTGAAGGAGAAAGCTCTAGATCGCATTAAGTGGAGGAATTGTTTTGAAAGAGACTGTGGACCTGTCGTCTTGACAGATTACTGATGATGATGATGATGAATGTTGTTATAGCAGATAAATATAATTCGGAAAGATATATATAGGATGATACCTGTCATTTACTCGTACAATTCATCCTTTAATGCTCCTACAACAGACAAAACTACAAAGCTGAAGCAGGCCAAACAAGGGTCACATGTAAATTCATAACACATTGAATAACAATTCTATAAAATTTTTAAAATGGAAATTGCCTCATATTTTCATGTAATGTCAGCCCCGATATCCGTGAGGACTTCATTCTGACTGAAGACCTATTTTGGGTGTGGCGTGGGGTTCCCTTCGCTTTGTAGTGACTACTCTTCTGGAAACAGACAGCAGTAGTTTGTGATGACAACAGAACTATTAAACTACCCAGTCCGTAATTGTATTACGAAAAAATGACGACAAAACGTGATCATTCCTGTTCTCAAAAATTATAAAACAATCAGAAAACTCTCAACACGAGACTAATGGAAGTCAGAATAACAGAGTTTTGCTTAAGGTTCATAAAAATGAAATTAAAGAAAAATAAATTACTTCTACGTAGCAGAGTTCTGGTGCCAGGCCCTGTATTCATTTGGAATAAACATAAAAACGCAAAACGGGAACTGAGTTCTACACGTATCCAACCATTCACCTATCAAATGTATCGGTCGATGTTTTATTACTCGTAATTCTAAATTACTGTATATATTTCAGTTCTTAAAATCCGAACAGTAATTAACTTGCCAGAAGAATTAATTTGCATATCCATATGTTTCCACCGTTTTCGCATTCCTATTCTTCTGCACGACTGGGGCTCTTTAACGTAACCCAGCTCCAGGTGGAATTCTTAAGAATCAATTTTGAAATGTGTGAACTGCAACCACAAGAAATGTCAAAACTATTTCCGTCACCGCATCTTTGTACGTCAAATGTCTTTCTTTCTTCTGGTTTTAATCTCTGACAGTTCTCTCTAGATGAAGTCTGCAGCCTTCGCAAACATTCCAAACATTTTATTTTAGTTTCTATAATTTTGAATAAAAAGAAATTTTTCAATTCGTTTCGTAAACCTGCACGAAGCTCATGGACTGGCAATCTGTGTCAGGTCTTAGAGGGCGCATTTTGGATAGCAAAAAATGTTAAAACTTCATAAAAAATTAAAAGGTATTTCTGTGAAGACAGTGAGTTTTCTAAATCCACATTTTGGCCAAGCCTTCCATCTGTCAACATAGCTCATATACATGAAAAATTTGTTTAGTATTGTCTAATTAAAAGGGGCGCTTCTCAACAAAATTTATAATCTATTACTAAACTGGAATTTCAGGGATCCAACTGAAAACATAAGCACAATATTCATCAGCTTAAATTCAGAAAAGTCAACTACAAAGGACACAAGTCCGGAATCACGTACTGTAACCCCGTCTTGATTGTCATCAATCATCTATCTTGTGTACAGCAGATCGCAAGTCAGAATTAGACGTTGGTATCGCGAGAGGAAAGGGTGAGCCACGGTTACAGCATCAGAGTTTTAAATAAAGTAATAAAACTTCAAATTATCCCAGTACTTAGAATCCGGCCATGAAGGTGGTAAGAGGCAAGCTTCAGCCTCCGGCTACCATTAGAGCCAGATTAAGAGTCTACTGTACCTACTGCATAGGGTGCCCTATGCACATGGGGCGTATACAAGGTGTTTTGATAAATCCTAACGTCATGACTAGAGCAGAATTATAGGCAGAGTCCGCTAACGTACCTCAAAGTAAACACACGTACACGGCAGCATTTCTTGGACTTAAGTCCGTGTGGGAGCGTTGAAAAATAGTCAAACTTTTATATGATATACTTCGTTTAAGAGACATTAATCCAGAATTTCTTGTGCCAGTTATTTTAATTTCTTATAATGGAAACTGTCAATCGCCCGCACAGCAATTCTAACCTCTACGAATGCAAATTTATATCAAACCGGAGGATGAACTTATGCACACAAGTTTATAATTGCACAAATTACGCATCACTCTCTGTGCAAAAGCTCCAGCAATTTAAGCTTACAATTACTGTAAACTGTAAGATATTTTTATAGAATATAAATGCAAACTAAACATTGGTTGTATGACCCAAAGGGAAGCCAACACTTGTTTGCCCAGGCATAAGTGTGGGCATGCTACCTGAAATACTGTCTCACTGTCTGTTACATTAGCTTTCGTACTGTTAACTTCCCTTATCTATTATTTTCCATTTCTGTAGTTCAGTCGATATAGCGACTCGGCTGCGGGATCGACGGCCCAGGAGTCAGGGTTCGAGACATTTTCTCTTGCGCATAAAGTCCAGGCCGGCTCTGGGACACACCCCCACAAGAGATACCGGTGTTGTTTCCCTGGGAATAAACCGGCAGAGGTGTGAAGTTGAGCACTTAGCACCATATGGTGCCAAGGGTAGGAGTGGTGGAGCTGTACGTCCACTACCCCATACGTCTTTATAACGTGGTGCTTAATTACTCAAGGTATAGGGAAACCTTTACCTGCGTTATGTCAACTATTCATTCTATACTTGGGTGTTCTGTGTTCACAGCCTTCAATTCTGATGCAATGCTGGATGAAAATTCACCTGCAAGTGTAAACTATTTTCAGCTAAAGACCTCGCAGAAGGCTGCCACTTCAACATGGTTCCATACACTGTATCCTGGCCCTCAGACAAACATGCCTTACGTAGTGTAGCAGGCCTATATGCGCAGACACGCGTTTCTGTTTCTGCACACCTAGTGAAGGAGCAGGTTCACTGCCTCAGTCCAGCATGCTGTCATTCCTTATTACCCAGCGTTACAGGAAAGTTCCGCATTACAAATTATCATCAGTCACCTCTTCCACTCAGAATATTTTAATTTTCTAACACAAAGCGAAAACATGATCTAACTTTCGAAATAGCAAAGGTGAACCTTTATACATTCAGTGGGTTGAACTATAACATTAAGATTTCAATGAACAAACAAAGGAACACAGAAGTGGAACCTCAATGACAAGTACGTAGCCCTACCAAAAGGGCTGTGACGTCTTCAGCGCTGCCAGACACCAATATCGCCTAAGATTACTTTGTGCTTCCCACTGACACATAAATCAAATAAACGCATTTTCTTAGTTACCAGGGTCTGAAAACGAAATTATTCGACACCAAGTCTCCCCTTTCATTTGCTGCCGTGGATATCCATGGTGATAATATTCGTAAATACCAAACAGCTAGCTTTATGCACTAAACGTACATGTCTCTCTAACGACGATGACTGTGTGCATCGTTTTATGCATTACACCATATGTGGTCTCCTAGAAACAGGAATACAGAAAAGACGGAAAGAAGCGTTAGAGAGAAGCATCTTATATTGCATATAATATGTAAAAATATCAAGCGCTGCCAAATTATACTTGACTGATAAAGAAAAATGCCATATTTCATGTATATACAACTTGCATGGTCCGTGATCTATCCAATATTCATCCTTAAATGTGTGGCATGTTTCCTATCCCAACATAAATCAGAAGCTGTATACAGTTTAACAAAAATAACTAATTAAGTACACAATGTTAGGAAATTATCTTGTTAAACTTACCTTGTACGACGAGCCTGACAACAGCTTCTGGTTTGGGGCGATTGTTGACGAGACAGCTATATTCCGCGCTGTCCTCGGCAGTGACGGGATGAAAATGCAGGGAAAATGTGTCCGGGAGCAGCGTGATGCGATGTCTGTGTTCCCACACAGTTGTACTCTCACCCATGTATTCCACGAGTTTTACATGTGAGCGCCATTCTAACATAAGCACCAACGAGTGTTCTGTCACTCCTGGACAGGCAAGAGTTACGTTGGAGCCTGCTTCAGACAGCACGGTCTGCAACGGAATTGTTGTAACATCTGTGAACAAAAGAACAAGCGCGTTCTGTAACGGAAGCGCAACCAGGTACTGCATACGCGTATTTTCAAATGTTTTTGCGTACCACTGTCATTTTTTCAGTATGGTAAGTTAAGAATGTGTATGTCAACTTCAATATTTAAGGATTTCACTGCTACAGTGAAGAAACGTTGGGCATGTATGTTTGTAGGTCTTGTTGTAGAAGCTTTCTACGCAGTAAGCCCGGCTTGGGGAGCCCAGAGATAAGTTTCTATGATGTACTGGTTGTTAGTGTGTCTACAGTGAAGAAACGTTGGGCATGTATGTTTGTAGGTCTCTGTTTTAGACGCTTTCTACGTAGTAAGCCCGGTTGTGGAGCCCAAAGACAAGTTTCTGTGATCTACTGGTTGTTAATGTGTGGTATACTGGTACGCTATTTTCACGATATGTATCTTTATATAATCATACAATTTGGCGGATATACGTCTGGTGTGTTCTACACTGTACGTTGGTTCGGTGTAGGAATAACACGCTTTTCTTAAGTCGCGCAGGGCAAATCCTAGGAGAGTGCGTAAACCAAACCCCTATCGGTCCTATCCACACAATTTCCAATTCTTCACTCGCACTCGTCACACTGTACGATTTCATATAACTTAGGCAGTCGAGAGGGCATTATATGACCTCAAAATTAATACCTATTTTTCTTCTTGTTCTTAACTTGAGTGGGTTTTTTTTAATTCGCTTAGTGGGGGCTTCGGTCGGTATAGTTCGCTTGCGGACTAAAATCACGGAGTTTAGTTGGGGGTGGAGTCCAACTGGGTCCACTTGGCACAACGGCCACTGATTGGTCTATTGTAGCCTGACCCGGGTGATTTTGATGTTGGAGAATTTGGTGAAATGAAGATTCGCAGTGGAAACCGAAGTACTCGAAGAAAACCCTCGACAGCGCCACTTTGTCCACCACAAATCCCAACTGACCACACCCGGGATCGAACCCGGGCCGCCGCGGTGGGAAGCCAGCGACTAACCGCTTGAGCTAAGGCGCGGCCTTAACTTGAGTAAGTATTTACTCCTAGGGTGTAATATACTTAAAAGGCATTCTACTGAAATGCTTAAGTCGCATGAATTAAAGCACAGGTTCACTTAACTTCGTGAATAACTCAGTGAAAATGAAAATTGTTTAAAATGATTTGAAGATAGAGTTCGCTGGTCTTAAGATCGCATACACGCACCGGAGACCTGTGTTCAGTTAATTCCCTGCAAAACCCAGACGTAATATGCAGAATCTAATATGAACTGTTCGCTATGATAACAAACACAGTTCCAAGACAAACAATTTGATTGACAGTTACACGTGCTTACAAAGACGGTAATCACGAATGTGTATTAGCCCAAAAGCCTTTATTCGAAACAGCGTGGACACTGGGAACTGAGCTGAAACACAAGGTGGATAAGATGGCTCTCCTATCCAAACAAGCTGACCCCAGCCTCTGCCTTAGAGAACCAGCCAACCCAATATTTGAGTCGGAACAGCTTCGGGTAATTACAGCTTGTTTCTTGTCTCCGCAGTTTCCTTTGATAACATTGTGGTGCTTACAGCTCAGCAGTCACTTTCCCAACGCTGAATTGTGGCCTGCAGGAAGTATACCTGTTACCTGCTTAGAGGTGCTAATGTCCACGAAAAGTTACATGAAACAAAGGCTGTTCCTGTCATGAGTGACAGAGAACTGCGTTTTGAGAGGTACAGAGACAGCCCAGTGGTTACTGTGGAAGTGCTCAGCACTGTCAGATAGCTGGAATTTAAGCATATAATTTATCCTTGTATAATCTGAATTTCATCTTTCAGTTTACTTAGTATTTTTGCTTAATAATGTTAGAAATTGCCGGTTACGGTAGCCGAGCGGTCTAAGGCATGTACTGTCTTCGCTCGCTTGGAAACCGGGATCGTGGGTTAGAATCCCACTCAGGGCATGGATGTTTAGTTTGTGTGTGTGCGTTTTTCTGTGTTTGTGTACAGGTAGAGGCCTTGCGACGAGCTGATCACCCGCCCAAGGAGTCCTACCGAATGCGTAAGATCAAGAAAAACCGAAGTGAACGGAGAAGTTCATGGAGGTAGGCCTAGGCCCACTGGGGCTGTAGTGCCAAGGAAAAAAATGTTAGAAATTATTATTACTGTCACGTGTATTAGTGATTACAGACGAGGTATGAATTGGCGAGTAGATTTATTGGCTACATGCAGATCGTAACTAAAAATAATTATTGCACTATTACTGATTTCCACACTACAAATCACTCCAAACTAAGTTCTCTCAACCTAATTTCAATTGCCTTTACGTCGTAACAGCTCTCCACAATGGCTGTTCATCTGCAGTGTCTTCACTAGACCTCTCCTGGTAACGAACCTTAGCAATGAAGATCCTTCAGTTTCCGTTGCCCACTGGTTAACTGTCCACAGCTAAACCCTTATCTTAGTATTTAGTTACTAATAGTATTAACAACACTCGTAATAATTCATAAATGTAGTACGTATATATTTAAGTCTTCTTTAGATTTATGCTCACAGATTTGTCATATTTGTATTTTGTNATTATTATTATTATTATTATTATTATTATTATTATTATTATTATTATTATTATTATTAGAAAAGAAGAAGCCGTATGTTCAAGACAGAGCACAATTTGTATATTATTCTCATATCAATGTTACCACAACCGTTCACCTCTCTTCTTCATGCATTTAATTATTCAAGAAAATTTTGGAAATTGATTTTGGAACCTGTATACAATGAGCTTAGCCCACATTTTTTAAGTTACGTCTGTGTTCGAAATTTACGTGATCTAGATTAAATTGGGTGATTACAGTAGCGGTGCGGTACATGCATGAGAATCTTGCTAGAATTTAACTGGCCCAGGATTGGGTTCAATGGTCAGACTTCTAAACACATTCTTAAGTTTTTAACTTGTTTCATTCTGGTCCATCACACTAACAATATTATAAAAGATAAAACAATTCCGTCCAGTGTGACTGGTGAAGTTTTTCTTACTTCAATTCTTAACGCCCTTACGTGTTTCGGTCCTTAGAGAACATCATCAGAGGGACATCGATACTGTTTGGAAACCACTATTACAAAGGGTGTTCTGAATGTTAAAATGTATATACACACAGTGTTTGCATTATATCTATTTGTGCAATGTAAACACTGTATGTATATATATTTTAATATTCAAAACACCCATTGTAATAGCGGTTTCCGAACAGTACCGATGTCCCTCTGATGGCAGTCTCTAAGGATCGAAATATTTAAGGGCGTTAAGAATTGAAGTAAGAAAACTTTACCAGTCACACTAGACGGAATCGCTTTATCTCTTATAACATTCTCAAGCAGCCGGATTCTACAAAAGCATGTGTATTTCGAAAGGGTGAAACGCTTCAAACTGGTCACAGTAGCCGAGTGGTCTAAGGCATGTACTGTCTTCGCTCGCTCGGAAGCCGAGATCGTGGGATGTTTAGTATGTGTATGTGTTGTCCTGTGATTAGGTCTGTAAAATGATCAAAATGAAAAAAAAAACCTCGACACCGTAAAGGTATAAGAGGAAAGGATTAAGTAATTTTTTATTGCTAGTGGGTGGGGCCAAGTCCCTTGCACTGCGGCCACTTCTGGCCTATTGTACCAGCCCCAGATGATAGGTGAGGGTGATTGTGGAGCAATCGGTGGAATGAAGATTGGCAGGGGAAACCGATAAAACCTGCCCCAGCGCCACTTTGTCCATCGCAAATCCCACTTGACCAGACCCGGGCTCGAACCCGGGCCGCCGCGGTGGGAAGCCAGCGACTAACCGCTTGAGCTATGGCGCGGCCAACGGATTAAGTAAGAAATTCTTCATGTCTCCGTGGAATTATATTTTATATTAGAATATGATTTGGTGTTGCGCGCTCGCGAAAGGAGTCTTCTATCAATGGTAAGGATTATGATGATCCGAATTTTAATATACGTATTACGCAATAAACTTGTGACAGAAATGGCCAGACTTCGGTAGACATCGTGGGAAAATGACAACGAAACATCATAAATGCAAAAAAGAGTAATTTCCTAAAAAAAAAAATCGAATCCTAATATTACAGAACAAAGACTCTAGAGTTCAGTAGATTTCTAGATAGACAAGAAAAATAATTACGGTGTAAACGATTGTCATTACAAATTATATTGAACATTTCCGGACGACTTTCCTGTAAGAGACCGTGTTATAATTAATATAAAACATATTGAGAATGTGTCAAATAGACACTGGACAATAAAACACTCGATCTACATTAAATGTTAATCCGCACTGGAAAGACAGGAGTAATTTAATGTTACAAGAATCGATTATCAATCTTCTTGTCGACCCAGTGCTCATTTTGCACATTACTACATAAAACATATTAAATATAATCAATCATAAAGTAGAGTACCAGATAATTATGACATTTTCAGAAGTATGATAAATTACAGCATATCAGAGATATATAACTTGAACGATATTTGTGGCCATAAATATATTAGGCTCTCAAATTAAGGTTCATATCGCTGCAATTTTATAATGGATATTAGATGGCTGGATAGTAAAGCAGAGTGGTCAAAACACTGCTACATATTCGAGGGCACTTGGATCGAATCCCTGCGCTAAGTATTCGACGACATAATTTAAAAAACGGAAATACCGTCGTTAAATAACCAAATACCAATGATCACAACACCGATCACTTGTCCGGGTTAAAGTCTGGCAGAGTAAGAAGCCAGAAGCTCATATTCATCTAGTTCGAAGGCGAAGAATAATGCACAGAGCTTTACTTCAGAAACCTCTGAGCACAGATGATGCGGTGCTAGTCCAAGCGAAATAAAATACTGTACATGTAGCCTATTGCTAGACAACCTGTTGGTAAATAAGTTTCCGCGAAGACGGATTCTCGGTAAACAGTCCGTTGCTAGGTTACGCAGCAGTAGAGGAAGCTGTCTTTTTCCGTGTCAGCGGTGAGGTCA